TCTTGGAAACATGGGTTAACACAATCAGCTAGCTTGTGCAGCCAACATGTAAATACTCTAACTGTAATGCAATACTGCCTTTCATTCACTGAAGTTTCACTTCCACGTCTCAAGATTGGCTGACAGCTGACATAAGCCCCGCCCACTTGAGTAGTGATTGGTTACTCTTCCTAGCTGTCATACCTCAAACTGTAATGGTATAGATCCACAGACCTAGCACTTTTATCGCATAGTTAGGGATCATTTAAAGCAAAGCAGAATCAATCCAGGCTGTGATGCAACTGTGATAAGTTTTTTTTTTTGTTTTTTTTTCTTCCGGTGTTGTAACATAAGAACAATGCTGGTCAATGATCCGTCACTCCTGTGTGCAAACCCACCAGTCCTTATGCAACTCCCTTCTCCTGTTGCATTATGCAATACTCAGCAGGTATAATCTATAAAGGATAAACTTGCAAAATATCATTCAATCCGCGAAGAGTTCAAATAAATTACTCACAGAGGTAAAAATAAATGCAAAAAATCTGAATAATCAGCACAGTTACATTGTTTTATATGAAATCTTGATATCTTCTCAGAATGAGGAAAGTAATAGGCATACTTTATCGTGTGAATTAGTGAAAAAGATATTGAAAACCTTCAATACCAAACAGTAATGACATCTGTTTTGATTAAATACAAGACCAGCATACAGTCATCACATAAAATATGAATAATCCAGACTTTACATTAAATGTAACATTTAACTATAATGTTCTTTTCTGTAAAAAAAAAAATATATATATATATATATATTCTAGTATATAAATGTTGTATTACAGTCATGTCCAGGGTAGGATTTTCTCCAGACATAAAAGTTTGTCTTATCTGAATAGACCACACTCTTCTACGTTTGCTATCCCAAAAGGTTTGGATGCATTTGATATCTGTCAAATGATGCATGATAACTGTTGGAATATATATATATATTTTGGATATTGAGTGTACAGGGATTTGGTTTTCTGCCATGTGGGGCATTTCTGTCTTATTAAAACAAAGAACATTCCTCCACATGTTTGCATTATTCCCCACATTGCTTATGGCAAACTGAAAACAGATTTTATTCTGGCATTCTTTAAAAAAAAAGAAAATCTTTCTGCTGCTCTATTAAAGTCCAATTGGTGGTGGAACAGACAAAAACAGGACAAGCTGATAAGCTTTTTTGGAGTGGCAAAAGAGGACACACTATGGGGCCACAGGATGGGGACCTCTGGTTTAAATAGTGACCACATTTTGGTATGTGGCCAGACCTTAGAAACTTAAATCATGTGTTTGTTTTTTTTTATCAATGTTCTAATCAACCATAAAGCTGTTTAATAATGTTCTCTTAGAAACCTCAGAGTCCTGTACATTCACAAATTTTCCGTTATGGACAGGTGGACATTTTTGTTACTTCTGAAAATTATTGACAACCCGATTTTATTCAGGGGAATCAGAAAAAGAGGGTAAAAACAAATGTCTCATATTTTCTATAATGTTTTACCTTATGAAATCCCTTTGCTTTGCATGGTGCACTGCTACTGTATGTGTTGGTGTGTCACAAAAAATATTGAAACCTTAATACATTACATACATAAAGCTTTTTAGTCAATTCTTCACTATTGTTCTTCCTTCTTACCTATCTAAGGATGAACTATTTGCCAGATCTAAGAGATGACCTCAAATCAAAGAGAGGAAGCTCAGCTGTGGTGTAAGGGCTTTATTGGCATACATTCCTTACAATTTGCACTGTGAAATAGAAAGATGTAGCTCCCATCTAATGATGCAACATTCACACAATCATTTTCAGACAATGAGTAACAAAACACTGGTTTACTGCTAAACTTTAACAGTAACCTCTGTTCTTTTTTAGAGGCTGATAACGTTTGCAGGTCTAAGGCACTGATTAGAATGGGTCAAAACCCCAATTTAGGTACAAAGAAACACGTTACTTAAAGCCAAATACTTGAAGGTCCACAACACACAGATACACTCACCCACATGCACACATTTTTATTTGCACCCAGATAACTAGTATGTCTATGCTACTTCAGCTGAGGCTAGTCCTTCTGTTAGTGATTTTGAAAAACAGGTATAGCGTTGTTGCTGGGTCCAGAGTAGTGTTTTACCTGGATAATTTTGTACATCGTTCATTAAAAAAAAACTTCATCAAGACTTTGGTTTCATTTTCCCCCATGTAACACTAAGACCAAGTGCCCCCTTTAGGTGCAGCTGGTCTCGGAAAAGTCAGACAGCATAAAGACAAAAAGAAACAGGTCCAAACATCACATGGTAATAAGGTGGGTTCCAACACAAACCAATAACACACTGTACACAGAAAAGAATTATTTTTTTTTGCAACTAAACTATGATTTAAAGCATTAAGTCAAACATAATTCTGATTTGCATGAAACTAAGCTCAGAAGAAACAAAGACAAAGAGAAAGAAAGAAGTGCAACGGTTGTAGCAGTGGCCTATTGCTGCAGTTCTATGGCAACAAAAAAATGAAATACAAGTAGCTTTACCTTGTTAAACACACTTAAACCAGTTACTCTCTTGTTGACAAGCTTAAGTTCCTAACCTTACCACTTTCTAAAGCACTCGTG